TAATTCTTGCTTGATAACTGTTTTGCTATATGTAATTTTACTATGTTAAAATGAAAGCCTTCTTTTTTGTTTAAACAGAAAAAGGGGAAATGATGTGGGAGTGATTTCTTACTAATAAAGAAACTGCCTAGGCCCATTTGATAGGCCAACCCTTAGGTGGGTGGAGTAAACAGAACAGGATGCTGGGAGAAAGAAGCTGAGTCAAGGAGTCGCCATGATTCTCCCACTCCAGTCAGACGCAGGTTAAGATCTTCTCTGGTAAGCCACCTCGTGGGCTACACAGATTATTAGAAATGGGTTAGATTAATATGTAAGAGCTAGCCAATAAGAGGCTACAGATAACGGGCCAGGCAGTGTTTAAAAGAATACAGTTTCCATGTAACTATTTCGGGGCATAAGCCTGCCATGTGGGAGCCAGGGCTGCCAGAATGCAGCTCCGCCGCTCTAATCTCAACACACACTGGCCTTCAGTACCTCAGCCCTGCTCCTTAGCAGAGCTCAGTGGCTGGAGGAAGCCTCCTTCCTCAGTGTGGGTACTGAAATCACAGAGACAGACATATGTGAGCACTTCCTACATGCACAGCCTACACGAGGGCTGCCCGGCAACCGTCGCCAGGGCTTGCTGCCTGCATAAATGCTTCCCAGGTCACCACTCTCCGTCTCTCAAGGTGGGATCTAAGCCATAGGAGAGGGTGAAGGAGCAACCACATTACAGGTGGAATCCCCTTAGGAATGCTCCTGGTGGCTGTCACACCTCAGGGCCCCTGGACAACCGACTCCTTAGTGTGTGTGTGTGCGTGCATGTGCGCGCGCACACACACACACCACCCACAGTCTGGGCAGCACTCACCACAGCCTTGCTCGTCTGAGCCGTTCTCACAGTCTGTCTGTCCATCACAACGCCAGGAGTCAGGAATGCAGCGACTGACAAGGCCCCCACAGCTGAATTCCTTGGATTTACAGGTGACAGACACTAGGGAGAAAGAGGAGCAGTACACAAAGTGAATACCAGTTAGTTACATCAGATGTGTGTGTGTGTGTGTGTGTGTGTGTGCGCGCGCGCGCGCGCGGGCGCAGCCATGACATGTGGCGGTCATAGGACAACATGCAGGAATCCCTCCACGATATGGGTTCCAAGCATCAAATTCATTTCGTGAGGGTTGGTCACAGGAACCCATGTCTGCTTAGCCATGCAGCAGATGACTTCATACTGGACTTTTAGAGGACCTGTGTCATGACCAAAACGTGCAGAACAGGATCAGGGTGAAGCCCTTCCAAACCCACTGCCACAGCGAACAGAACACTTTGGACTTTGGAAATCTGGATTAGGAATAGCCATCTTCTGTCCCACCTCTCAATTTATAACTGAACCCATCATTCCTGGGCTGCTCTGGAAGGATACTGGGTCTCACACAGCAGCAGAGCCCCCCAAGGAGGGGTGGGGGCATGGGTCAGTGGAAGAGCCCCCACTCAGTATGTGTCGTCCCTCGCTCCACCAGCACATAAAGGCGGCTTACTGCAGGTCTCTGAGGACTCGTCAGACCCGTCCGCGCATTCCGGGGTACCGTCACAGACCCACTTGCTGGAGATGCACCTCCCATCTGTGCACTGGAATTCGTTCCTGCTGCATCTGTCTTCGGCTACGAGAGCAAAGGGGAAGAAAGGGTTTCTCAACAGCAGCGGGCCAAGCTGGCCACACACCAGTGTGGCCAACCCCAGTGAGTGGCAAATTTACCCAGCATAGCAAGTGAAATTTGTCAGACCCAAAAGGAGAGCTGAGGGTCAACAAATAATGCAAAGGGAAAATCTGTTAATCAGTCATTAACATTGACATCTGGACTGTTGAAAAGAAAGTATAAAGATTTATCTAATTTGCCAGTGGTGGTGGCACGCACCTTTAATCCCAACACTGGGAAGGCATAGACAGGTGGATCTCTGCGAGTTCCAGGACAGCCAGGAATATAGAGAAACCTTGTCTCAGAAGAAAAAAAATTATGTAATTTAGTTATTTAAGTAACTTTAAGTTTTGAGACGGTCTCACCATGTAGTTCTTGGCTTGAATTCTATATAGAATAGGATGGCGTTGGTCTCACAGAGATCTGCCTGCCTCTGCCTCTGGAGCGCTGGGATTAAAGTATGGGTCACCTGATTTCGTGATGCGCTGGCACGCTAGTGAGGGTGACCAAGCACTGTCTGACCAGACTTGAAGCCCACCTCATGAGACAGCAGCCATGCTCAACACTGATACTATGGCCAAGAGCCTGGGACTGGAAAGGTCAGGGACAGAGAGGGAAAACAGCTACTACTGCCCTGGTCAAGGAACACAGCAACAAAAGGACTCCTAACAGCACTCTGCTCTACCCACCGGACAGCGTCCCCCTCAGCCCTCATCAGAGAAGCTTCCTCCCGCAATAGATGGGAACACACAGAGACCCAGACTGGGCAATGTGCAGAGTGAGAGAGCTCGGAATACTCGAGTCCTAAAGAACTAAATCTCTTCCCTCAGAGCCCAGGGGACCCTTCAGATGAGGAGACAGAACAGTCCAAGAGCCAGAGGAAGACACCTGTGAAACAAGGCCTTCCAAACACAACAGAACTGATGTACACACAAACTCACAGAGACAGTGGCGGCAAGCACAGCTCCAAGCCAGGCGGGGTCCCAGGGTTGAGAGCGGAACTGGACATGGGACCACCCCTAAGCCAGAAGCTGTCCCCAAGTGTCAACTGCTGGCAAAGGAGAAATTAGTTTTTTTCCAATGGAGACTTGCTGAGCACGCAAACCATGATGCGCAGACCCCATGCCCAGCAGTGGACAGCAGCACAAAATGAATTCAATGCTGATTTTGGAAATTTTGTCATGTTTTCTTTAAACTTTTCTTTTTTTTTTTTTTTTTTTGTAACTTTACTGGTCTTTTGGTTTTATTTTATGGTTTCCAATTATGTGTTTTTATAGATCTTGAATGTGTGTATCTCTTGCTTTTTCTGTTTCTGTTCATTTATTTTATTCTGGTTTGATGACTTATTTGCCTGTTTTCTAAAGAGAGAGAAAGAAGGCCTGGAGTTGGAGAGGTAGAAAGATCTGGCAGGAATGAGAGCGGGGGAAGCATGATCAGAATACACTACATGAAGAAAATGTCATTTTCAATGAAAAATAAAGTATGGGCATCATGATTGGCTACTTTTTTAAACTGTTATTTAAATTTTTTTTTTTTCTGTGACAGGGTTTCTCTGTGTAGCCCTGGCTGTTCTGGAACTTACTTTGTAGACCAGGCTGGCCTCAAACTCACAGATCTGCTGGCCTCTGCCTCCCGAGTGCTGGGATTAAAGTAATTTTAAATTTCTGATTAGAAGGGCTGGAGAGATGGCTCAGCGGTTAAGAGCATTGCCTGTTCTTCCAAAGGTCCGGAGTTCAATTCCAAGCAACCACATGGTGGCTCACAACCATCTGTAATGAGGTCTGGTGCCCTCTTCTGGCCTTCAGGCATACACGCAGAAAGAATATTGTATACACAATGAATAAATAAATATTAAAAAAATTCTGATTAGATAATTGTATTATATGTGTAGGGGTGTTTTGCCTGCATATATGGAGGCCAGAAGAGGGGGTCTGATCCCGAGACTGGAGTTATAAACGTGTTTAAGCAGTTGCGTGGGTGCTGCGAATCAAGTTCAGGTTCTATGGAGGAACAGCCAGTGCCCTTCTTTAATCGCTGAGCCTCTGTCTACCCTGCCTAGCTACCAAACAGAAGTCTTTTTGTTGTTGTTTTTAAAGATTTCTTTATTATGTATATATGCACCAGATCTCATCATAGATGGTTGTGAGCCACCATGTGGTTGCTGGGAATTGGACTCAGGACCTCTAGAAGAATAGTCAGTGCTCTTAACCTCTGAGCCATCTCTTCAGCCTCCCAAAGAAAAGTCTTTTTAGTTTTTAGTTTGTTGTTTTTTCCTTCGAGACAGGGTTTCCTCTGTGTAACCTTGGCTGTCCTGGAACTTGCTCTATAGACCAGGCTGGCCTAGAACTCAAAAATCTGCCTCCCTCTGCCTCAGAGTTCTGGAATCAAAAGTGTGCATCACCACGCCCTGTGATAAGTGTTTTTATACTTTTAAATCGTGTGTCTGTGTGTGGGTTTGTGCACAAGAATGCAGTGTCCAGAGAGGCCAGAAGAGGACATCAGACCCTTAGACCCAGGGTTACAGGTGGTTGTGGACAGACAGAGTTGGCAGGAACCGAACCCTTACAAGAGCAATGGATCTAACCAGCAGCCATCAGGTCTAACCTGAAGACCTCCAGTCTGAAGGCAAAGCAGAGCTCCCCTGAGGGACGCAGCAAACTGCTAATGCTTCTCTGTGAGTCTAGATGGCTGAGTGTGCTTGCTGCTAACACTGCCAGCCAGAGTTCCAGACCAGAGACCCACGTGGCAGAAGACAGAACCAACTCAGGCAGGCTGTCCTCTGGCTTCCACACACGTGCCGCGTGTTGTACCACACGAGCACGCACGGGAGGAAAACAAAGCCTTGAAAAAGCCCTACAACGGCAGGACCTTGAAAGTAATTCTTTGTTGATGCTGTTGTTTTCGAGACAGGGTTTCTCTGTGTAACTCTGGCTGTCCTGGAACTTGCTGCATCGACCAGGCTGGCCTCGAACTCAGAGGGCTGGGATTAAAGGTGTAAGCCGCCACCACTGCCCAGCTTCACAATCTGAAAGTTGATTAGCCTGAAATCCCACACCCCAGTGAGCCCCTTTGTGGTTCAGCGGCTCCTCCCAAGTCCCGGCTTCCTGCTCAGCTGTGCTCTAATTCTTTTTTTTTTCCTCCTCGAACAGTGTCACAGTACCTAGGGGTGGCCTGGAACTCTTGAGTTTTAGATTAAAGGCGTGTACCACTACGTTCAGTGTGCCGATAATATTCCATTACCCAGTGCTAACCGGACCAGTGACTCATCATACAGCCAGTAAAGGAAGTGACTCACCGACTCTCTCTGAGGGTCGGGTGAGCAGGGCATCTAGAATTCCAGGACTGGTTGGATCATTACAAAAGGAAAGTTCAGGGGGGCACTGGCAGGAAAGGGCTGAGGAGTGTCACCCCATCAGGCCACACAGCCCCGGTGATAGGTCACTAACCCCTGCTCTCACTTAAATGACATACAAATGAGCATGAGGTGTGGAAATACCCGCCACACCCGAAGGCCGTGCCTGGGGCTCGAACAAAAGCCTGGGTTCCACCCCCGCCACTGCGGAAACCTGGCGATGAGGTAGAAGCCCATCATGCCAGCCCTCAGGAGGTGGAGGCAGGAGGATCACCATTACTTTGAAGCCAGCCAGGGTTACATAGCAAGACCCTGTCTCAAAACAAAACCAAACGAATAAAAAATTAGGAAGGTGTGGTGGAGGGGAGAACACCTGTCATCCCAGGGATCTCGCGGCAAAGGCAAGAAGTCTGTTACAAGTTTGAGCACATCCTAGGCTTCGCGGCGACTTCCGGGTCACCCTGGGGTACACGAGGAGACCCCATCTCAAGAAAATAAGAGAAATAAACAAGGCCAGCAAGATGGCTCAGTGGGCAAAGGATCTGCGGCCAGGCCTACCGGAGTCTGATCCCCAGGACTCGGATGATGGAAGGAGAGACCCTCCTCTGCCCCCTGTCATCTCAAGCCCACGAGCACTCACACAGACCAGAGAAACAAATAAATGTAATCTTAGACATGTAAAAGCAAGCTGGAGTAACGGTGAACACCTTTTTGTTTGTTTGTTTGTTTTTCGAGACAAGGTGTCTCGGTGTAGCTCTGGCTGTCTTGGAACTAGCTTGTAGACCAGGCTGGCCTCGAACCCACAGAAATCCACCTGGCACTGTCTCCCAAGTGCTAAAATTAAAGGCATGTGCCATCACCACCACCTGGCATAGTACACACTTTTAATCCCAGCAAGGCAGAGGCAGGTGGATCTCTGTGAGTTCAAAGCCAGCCTGGTCTACATAGTAGTAAGTCCAGGATAACCAGGGTTATAGACGAATACAACATAAAAGGCCGTCACTTTGTATAGCATACGCTAAAACAGGACCCGCCATTCCAATCAACAGGCTCACACCTCTCAGCCTTGGCCCTCAGATCTCCAAAGTGAAGAATGACAAGACCACAAGAACCGAAAGAGGAAATACTCAGTTCTGTTTCCCACACACAAATAAGGTGGTCACTGCTCTCTAAGGCTTTCCTTTTCTGAGACAAAGCCTCATACAGTTCAGGCTGGCCTCCATGTATGTATGTATATATATATATGTATGTACACACACAAACATATATATATATATATATATATATATATATATATATATAGAGAGAGAGAGAGAGAGAGAGAGAGAGAGAGAGAGCGCGCGCAGGCTGGACTTGAGGACTTGACCCTTCAAGAATCCTTGTGGCAGGAGTGTGCTGCCACACCCAGTCACTTCCCCAAACTACTGAGGACAGGTGGTGTGCAAGGAAGTCAAGCACTCAGGAGGCAGAGGCAGGAGGATCTCTGTGAGTCTGAGGACAGCCAGGGTTACACAGAGCAACCCTGTCACAAAAAAAAGGAAGGAAGGAAGGAAGGAAGGAAGGAAGGAAGGAAGGAAGGAAGGAAGGAAGGAAGGAAGGAAGGAAGGAGAGAAACCAACATAAAGGAGGTTGAGGTGCTGTCACTGAAAGTGCCTAACACTGAGAGCACTTTGGGCTCCGCCCCAGAAACAATGAGCAAGCAACCTGTGGTCAGGCCTGCTGGCTTTCACTTGTAATCTCAGCGTTCCGGACGCTGAGGCAGGAGGGATACAACGAGTTCAAGACCAGCCGGGGGAATACATGCTAACCCGGGCTACATATAAAAGTGGGGCAGGCTGCGAATGCTCCTAGTGAGATCCACCTTGAGCACCTGGAAATTAACGTGGGAAAAAGCTCTAACAATGGCCTGCGACTGGCTCTGCCTATGCAGAAAAGGGAACAGCCTCGGACTGAATATTATTTCTCTAGACACACACCATCACCCTTAAGTCGCTCTGAGGTCCTGACCCCCGTTACCCTTTGAACAACTGAAACAGGCAAGAGCCTGCAAACCTAGCTTACACAGCACAGATATTGCTAGATATTCTTAGTACCCAGAGTTCTTTTCTGAAGGCTGTCATCTGGGGTCATCCTGCCCACCTACCAAAACTATGCTTCTCCTGATAAAGAATTAATAGTGGACCAGGACCTGACGATCACTGTCACCCTGAGCTGCCTGGTTTTTGATAAGGGGGATGGGCCTAAGGGCTGGTTCTAGGTCAGGGCTGTCTCCTTTGTTATGAGACTGGAGCCTGGCTGGAGGTCAACCCTGGTGAGGGCACATTTACAGAAGTGTTTTCAGTGGCCCTAAACTTCCTTATGGCACCAACTTTCCTAACAGGTGAGTACACACTTGCCAGGCACACCTTTGGTCAGTGACTGAGTCCTTCACAGCCTCAGCCTGACTGCTTACGATGGCTCAGTGGCAAAGGCACTCACCACGGAGGCTAACAACCATCTAGGACAACCAAGGCCTGAGGTCCTCATCCTGCAGATCGATTCCACTCTCTCAGCATCCTAAGCGGAGTTGCTTCACCAGCCCAGAGGTGCAGATGCTGTAAGTATCGATGCACTTAAGGCAGAAAGGGGAAGAACACCACAGCTTGGCCAAAGAGTCAAGTACAGACCAGAGCCAAGTGTCTAGACTCCAGAGTCTTATCTGGAGGAAGCAGAAGATAAGAGCAGGGATTAACTACCCAGAGACAGGAGCATCACCCTTCAAAAGGCTTGGAGTGGCTCCCAGCACGCAGGAGTGAGGCGGACTTGCCTGCAATGCACAGTGAGACCCTACTAAAAAAAATAAAAATAAGAAAAAGAAAGGCCAGTGCAGAGGAACTGCCACAGTGTGAGGCAAGCCTGAACTACATAGGAATTCCAGGACAGCCTGGGCTACAAAGTGAGATGCTGCCTCCAAAAATAGATAACTGAAAAGAACAAGAAAAAAATCCAACTTCACCCAAACTTTTACCAATTCTATTCAACGAGAACCATGATGGAGACAAATGAATACACCCACGGCACATTATCAATGCCCGCAAATTTGTACTCTCCCTGTGTCTGGAGGACCCTCTGACATGCTTGACTTCCCTTACATCAGCTCCTTGCTCTATCTGTGCATGCATGTGCATGTGTGTGCGTGTGTGTGTGCATGCATATGTGTATGTGCATGTGTGTGCGCGCGCGTGTAGGCCAGAAGTTCAAATCGCGTGACTTCCTCTGTCTTTCTCCTGTTTATGCTTTGGACCAGATTTCCTGGTAGCCCAGGAACCCGCCCAGCACCGCCATTGCAGGCTGTCACAGCTGGCTTAGACAGCTGCCGGCAATTTTTACTCAGGTCCTCCCGTGTACACTGCAAGCATGTCACCAACTGAGCCACCACCCCAGTCCCCGATCTGCTCTTGCCAACCTGAACAAACGTGCACAACAGATCACATTTGTTTGGTTTTCGAGACAGGGTTTCTCTGTAGCTTTGGAGCCTGTCCTGGAACTAGCTCTTGTAGATCAGGCTGGCCTCGAACTCACAGAGATCCACCTGCCTCTGCCTTCAGAGTGCTGGGATAAAAGGCCTGCGCCACCACTGCCCGGTAACAGATCACATGGTCCAGGCAAAGCAGGAAGCCAGAGCAAGCTATTATAGTCACTATGAGCATGAGGTGTGACAGACAGGCTGGGAGTCTGGGAGTCAGCACAGGGGCTCTTAGGCCTTCCTGCACAATGGGAAACCAGACCTCACGCAAGACTTCATAAAACGCATTTTTTCCTTAAAGAAGGCAAAGATGTATGGGAGAAATTAGGGTCTTTGGTCAAGCCTTGTTTGTAATTACAACTGAATGCCGAGTGTTTGCCTGTTCAACGGCTTACACAGGCTCTCTCTGAGACTCGGTCTCAATGTATGGCCCTGGCTGTCCTGGAACTCACAGAGATCCGCCTTCCCAGTGCTGAGATTAAAGGTGTGCTGGACGTCTTTAGGGATTGTACAGTTGACAGCCATTCCCTGCGGACTAACAAACTCCTTCTAGAATCCTACTAATCACTCCCTACCTGCATTGGTTCTGAGGAGGGAAAGAGCCATTTAAACTGCTCCTGTCCCAGCCAGGCTGACTGTAAGACTAACCAGACTGGGGCTGAGCGCAGATGGTAGAGTGTCTGCCTCCCTAGCTTCTATCCCCAAGATCCCAAACTCTGAGCATGACGGCACAGGCCTGTCATCCCAACACTCCCGAGGAGTAGGAGGGAGGATCAGTTCAGTCATTAGGCTAGCCTGGACTAAATGAGATCCTGTCCTAAAGGGGGTGGGGGAACGGAAGCTGGGAATGCAGCTTACACGCAGGGATTTATCCCGAATGTGCAGGGTCAAGTTCAAGCCCCAGGACTGCAAAGAAGTTGGGGGTGGGACTGTAACCTGATTACACACCATCGAACCTCCGTCCAAATTCCAACACCTCTCCTAAAAGGAAAGTCCACTTTACGGGGCAGCCAAACCCAACGCATTCAGAGAGTGGGAACATAGCAGATCAGCAAGAGTCCTTGCTGGGTCCCTGGCCCACCCTGGCTGATGATAGTCTTGGCTAGCGAGGCCTGGGTGGCCCGAGGCACACCAGGGAACTAGACCAGGAAACTGGACCAGGGAAGCTGGGACAAGATTGGGATTGAGGTCTAAACACTCCCGGAAACTCTGCAGGGTCCCAGAAGGCCCAGAAGTAGAGCCCCGCCCCATAGGGATGCTCGTGCAAGCCACGCCCCTGCACCTCATCCTCCGCCTTCCATTGGACGAGGGGAGTGGCTCGAGGCTCGCCTGTTCTGGCTGCACCCAGTAGGAGATCGGGGGTGCGGTGGGAGGTTGGGCTGGGGCGGTGCTTTCGGGCACGCGGTAGCGGCAGGATTTGGGTGTGTAGCTGTGGAGACCCCGAGTCGTGTACACAGAGGACTAGGGGCCGCAAAGTTGGGCAGCTGGGACTGCGTATCCCTCTAGAACGAATGACGGGAGCGCTCCTCTTGGACTCCCACGTACATCGATCGCTCCGGGAGACCCATAACACCTCCGGGGGACCCTCATCCGCTGACCCGGGAGAGCCCCTCCCCGTCTCCCCTACGCCCACCCTGAGTCCCTACAACTCCGGCACCCCCTTCCCAAAATAGCTCCTTCCAGTCGCTCGGGAAGGACCCTCACTAGAAGTTCTCACGAGAGATTCCACTTCACCACTTCTCGTTCAAAAATAAATAAATCACCGGGGACTCCCCGAGTGCAGGGGGTCTGCCCCTTACCCTGCGCGGGCTCCTGGAGCAAGCCTTACCTGCAGCCCCAGCAGCAGCCAGGAGCAGGGCGATGGCCCAGCGCAGCGCTAGATCCCCGGTGCTCATCCTCAGCGTCAGCGTCTCGTGTCCACTCGGTTCACAGAGTCCACTGTGTCCGCGCTGCAAATCGGGCCCCACGGTATCTCGGCTGCAAACCCGGGGTGGCGGGTCCCACGGTGTCCCTGCTGCAAACCTGCGCTGCACACGGCCAGCCGGCGACTACAGGCGCGCAGCGGCCGGAGGCATTCCTAGCTCTTCCAGGCGAGGATTCCAGGCGGGGGAGGAGTCTGTAGTGGGGTGATTTTCAAAAGTCTTCACCTCACAGCACGGGGAGGAGCTTCGAACGGCCGACGTGACCTCGGCTCGTTAACCCCTGAAGCTCCTGAGGCTCCTTCCTCAGAATCCCAACACACTTTCCTAACGCTTAGAGGCCAACTTTACAGAGTGTTCAAAGGACAATCCGCGTCCTTCCAAAGTCCGGATCACCTTTTGACGCTGTGTTTTCAACCTTCAAGGGAAAAAAAGAAGTTTGGGAAGCCCACCTGCTTCTTGTTGCGTTTGCGTTCTGCTTTCTAGGAACCCTGCATAGATTTCTGACCTCAGTACTGCTGCAGTTTTCAGATGGTTATCCAACTCGATCCACAAAGAGCTCAGCGAGGAATGCGAATAAAATCAAGGGGGAAGTGCTAATTAAACACGACTTGGGGGTGGGCTTGTTGGCTTGGGAAGTGAAGGAGCGCGCAGCTAAGCCTGAACCCTGAGTTTGTTCCCTGTTTGAAAAGCTAAAGTTATTTTATATAATTATTTTCAAAATCAAGGGGTTCATTATCTTTCTTTTTTTTTTTTTACGATTTATGTATTATGAATACAGTATTCTGCCTGCATGTATGCCTGCAGACCAGGAGAGGTTATACAGATATACAGATCTTATTGTAGATGGTTGTGAGATACCATGTGGGTGCTGGGAATTGAACTCGGGGACCTTTGGAAGAGCAGCCAGTGCTCTTAACAACTCTGAGCCATCTCTCCAGTCCCTCATTATCTTTCTATGTTGACAAAAAATATTGATTTCTCCTATCCTTTTGTTTTTGGCATGCACCTCCTGACATAACTGCTTGCTTACACTTTTTACAAGGAGTCAAATACACCGAAGGATACGTATCCTCTTCCCTCAAAGTAAAAACGGAACCAAATGTGGTTTCTTTTGACATTGACCCTGAAAGCTAAACCACAGCAGAGAAGCTTCGAAGAATCAAAGAAAGACTCTTGGGATTTGTAGCTGCTCAAAGGGTCCCTGAAGGACTGAGTAGTTCAGCTGCACAGAGCTGGCCTCTAAGGGCTGAGTAGGCTTCAGGTTCCACGCCCAGCTCCCAGCAAAAGAATGAAATGGGGCTTGCTTCTTGGCTCCGTGCATGCCGGGAAGCCTAACAACCTGAGTCTAAAACCAAGGACCTACATGGGAGGAGAGACTGCATTGCTGTGAGCTGCATGGTTGTGCAGTGGTGTATCACACTCTCGCAGTAATGAAAAAGTAAGTAGATAATACAAAACAACAGAGGCTGAGAAGTGAGGCAGAAGAAAGACCAGGCCAGTTGGGCTTGGCTGGTAGAGTACCTGCATGGGTTTCATCCCAGGCTGTTGTCAGAGTCTGGGTCTCTATACTCTGCAGGTGGAGGCCAGAGGAACGTGCGTGAGGCCAGCCTAAGCGAAAGACAAACAGCAAGTTTATTTTGTGAGTTGATTTCTCTTGATTTTGATTTTATTTTTTGTTTTTGAGATAGGGTCTTTCTTATTATGTAGCTCTGGCTGTCCTGGAACTCACTATACAGACACAGAGATCTCAAGCACAGAGATATCTACTGTGTCTCAGAGGTGTGTGCCACACCGCCAGCTGAACTGATTTCTCTTTGACACCCCCTCCTTTTTTTTTTTGAGACAGAGTTTCTCACTTTGGTACCTGGTGGTCAGCCTCGAACTCAGAGATCCGCCTGCCTCTGCCTCTTGAGTGCTGGGATTAAAGGTGTGCACCACCACTGCCTGGCTTGTTTCTTTTTTCTTTTTGGTTTTGGGGTGGTTGTGTGTGTGTTCATGTGTGTGTGGAGGCCAGAGTTCAATGTCAGGTGTCCTCCTCAGTTGCTTTCCAACTAACTAAATAGAATTTTAATATTCTCTTTTGTGTGTGCACACATATACACATGTTATGGCGAAGGTCAGCGGACAATGTCTGCTACCAGAAGTCTTGGGACCCACCTGGCACACCTGGTGGGCTTTTCTGGCCACAGGCAACTCATTATGAGCCCTAATAACCCCAGCTCCTTATTGATCCCACTTTCTCAATCTCCTGAGTAGCTGGGACAGCAGCCTGTAGCTCTCTGGGAACTCCCACCCCTCCCCTCCCCACTGGGTCTCCTTAGAGTCACCAGGAAAAAATCCCTTCTCCCAGAAGGTCAGGCCTTTCCAGGAGGACTGACTCAGGTGAGCACCTGGTGGCACAGCAGGTCCTGCCAGTTTTCCCAGACAGACACCTGCCTACAATATCTCCTGCTCTGTGCCTCGGGTCGTGAAGATGCAAACCAGGTTGTGCTGGGCAGTAGCCCTTAGCCATAAAGAACGGCTAAGGGCTACTGACCAAAGCCTGACTCTTCACCTACAGAGACAATACGCCCAGATGCTGAAAACCACCTTTGCTCCTCCAGTAAAATAGCCACAACTTCCTGGTGGCTGTGTGGTGTGTGTGCATGTGTGTGTATGGTGTGTGTGTGGTATGTGTGCATGTGTGGTATGTGTATGTATGTGTGTGTTGTGTATGTATATGTGTTGCGTATGTATATGTGGTGTGTGTGCATGTGTGGTGTGTGTATGTATGTGTGTGCTGCGTATGTATATGTGGTGTGTGTGTATATGTGGTGTGTGTGTGTATATGTGGTGTGTGTGTATATGTGGTGTGTGTGTCTGTGTATGTGGTGTGTGTGTCTGTGTATGTGGTGTGTGTATGTATGTGTGTGCTGCATATGTATACGTGGTGTGTGTGTCTGTGGTGTGTGTATGGTGTATTATGTGGTGTGTCTGTGTGTGTGTGGTGTGTGTGTCTGTGTATGTGGTGTGTGTATGGTGTATTGTGCGGTGTGTGTGTGTGTGTCCCAGTGACCCCTCACTGTTTGGATAAAGCAGTCTCAGCCTGTTGGGCTCACTTTTCTAATACCTCATACCTGTGGCTGTCTCCTGAGTTGCCCTGGGCAGCAGTCCATAAGTCTGCCTCACCCTTGCTGCATGCCACCAGGGCAGCCTAACCAGGTGAAAACAGAGAGCCACCTTGTGAAGGTTATTCTCCCCCCCCCACACCAGCCAGTCTCACCCCCGGGATCTACCTACCAGTGTGCTGCCACAGCTCGGGCCACAGGTGTGCTACTCCTGGGGCTTTCTGCACATTTTTGGATCAGATCAAGTCCAACTGCTTGCACAATTATACTCCACTCAACTGCCCCCAGAATTCCTTGTTGGGCTTTTCTGAGAAAGGAGGACCTTCGTGTGCTGTGTGAAATGTGTGTGTGAGGTGTACACATGTGTGTATGTGAGGGTGCACACACCCATGTACCCACAGAGGCCAAAAGAAGTTACCAAGTAAGTTTCCCTCTCTGCCTGCTCTACAAGAACGAGTTCCAGGATAGCTGGGGCTACATAGCAAATCCCTGTCTCAAAATAAAAAACAGTGACCAGCTGGGCGGTGGGGCACACCTTCAATCCCAGCAGAGGCAGGTGGATCTCTGTGAGTTTGAGGTCAGCCTGGTCTACAGAGAGAGTTCCAGGACTGGCTCCAAAGCTACAGAGAAACCCTGTCTCAACACCCCCCCCCCAAACTATCTCTGCTGTTTCCCCCGTATTCTCTTGAGACAGATCATTCACTGAACCTGGGACTCAGCTGATAGTAAGCAAGTACCAGCAACCCTACCTCAGCTCCCCACAGTGCCAGGGTTGCAGGCGTGTGGGAGGCTGTCTGCAGTCTGATGGTTGCAGGCATGTGGGCGGCTGTCTGCAGTCTGCTGGTTGCAGGCTTGTGGGAGGCTGTCTGCAGTCTGCAAAATTGCAGGTGTGTAGATGGGTGGCTGTCTGTGGGGTTAACAGCTGTGTATGTGGCTGTCTGGCTTTTTTGCATGGGTGCTGGGTATTTGAACTCAGATCTTCATGATTGCACAGCAAGCTCTCTGACCCACTGAGCCATCTATCTACCTAGCCCAAGACATGATCTATATAGCTCAAAATGGTATCAAAATCCATAGTCCTCCTGCCTTAACCTTTCTAGTACTGGGGTAACAGGTGTGTGTATCAAATATAAGTTAATGAATGCCTTCTTCCTCCTTTTTTTTTTTGGTTTTTTTCGAGACAGGGTTTCTCTGTAGCTTTGGAGCCTATCCTGGAGCTAGCTCTTGTAGACCAGGCTGGTCTCGAACTCACAGAGATCCACCTGCCTCTGCCTCCCAAGTACTGGGATTAAAGGCGCACGCGCCACCACCGCCCGGCTCCTCCTCTTTTTCTTTCCCAGATAGGGTTTCTCTGTGTAACAGCCCATGCTGTACTGAAACTCGCTTTGTAGACTAGGCTGGCCTCGAACTCACAGAGATCCACCTGCCTCTGCCTCCTGAGTGCTGGGATTAAAGGCGTGCACCACCATGCATGAATGATTTTTTTTCCTTTCCTCTTTCTCTGACAGGGTTTCTCTGTATAGACCTAGTTGTACTGCAACTCACTCAGTAGACCAGGCTGGCCTTGAACTGAGAGAGATCTGCCTGTCTCTCTCACCCGAGTGCTGGGATTAAAGGGATTAAAGGTGTCTGCCACCACCATTTGTCAATTCTTATTTTAAAAAATCTTTATGTGTATGATTATCTTGCCTGATGTAGATGTGTGTGCTGAGTGTTTGCCTGGTACCCTCAGAGGTCAGAAGGTATTGGATCTCCTGGAGCTGGAGTTATGGACAATTGTGAGTTGCCAAGTGAATGCTGGGAAGAGCAGCCAGTGCAATTAACTGCTGAGCCATCTCTCCAGTCTTTTTTTTTTTTTTTTTTTTAATTAACGCGGGCTTTTGCTACATTGCCCAGCCTGGCCTTGAACTCCTCAGCTGAAGCAGTACTTTTGCCTCAGACTCCTGAGCAGCTGAACTAGTTGGCTGTACAGCACCATGGCCAGCAAGGGAGACAACATCAAAAGTTGCTTATGGTTATTATTGTGAGCACACAAATGCCACAGCATTTGGAGTATGGAGCTCAGGGGACAACTTGGTGCAGCTGGTTCTCCCCTCCA